TGGCAGTATTGTCAAAGGCAGGCAATCATCAATATCTCTGCGAACCTTTCCAACGATGCCATGCAGCAAGAAGAAATGGACGTGACAATGCACCCCTACATGGCCTTCCTGCGCCAATAAGGAAGATAAATAATGCCTGTTTGGGACTTGATACATGGAAAGTAGGACTTGAGACAAAGCTCGCTCTCAATTGATCAGGCTTCATGCAAGGAAGAGCGGGTGAACAATGGGAGCGGGTTCGCTTCTCATTAATCAAAGTAATTAGATCAATTACGCCGTGGGAGTTCCCCGAGAGTGTTCCAGTAACTGTTGGTCTTACACTTCCAGGCTGGTCGGCCTTGCGACATATTTACATAGTGGCTAGACGGGAGGATTGACGGAGGTATGTAAATAAGAGTTAAACGTTCTGCTCCAGGCGAAGAAGGAAGTAGGGCGATGGATTCTCCACGCCTCTCAGAGCAGACAGAAGGTTGGCGGGACTGCCTTGGGGAAGGGTGAGGTAGGATGGACTAAACACTGGGCTGGGACTTGGTGAGGTGGGATTGGAGGAATATTGGTAATTAGCAGGGTGAGATTAGAGAAACATTGGGACTTGGCGAGGTGGGATTGGAGGAACATTCGAACTTGGCGAGATGGGATTGGAGGAACATTGGGACTTGGGGAGATGGGATTAGAGGGAAATTGGGACTTGGCGAGGTGGGATTGGAGGAACATTGGGACTTGGCTAAGTGATTAGAGGAAAATTGGGACTTGGCAAGGTGGGATTGGAGGAACATTGGGACTTGGCAAGGTGGGATTGGAGGAACTTTGGGACGTGGCGAGGTGGGATTGGAAGAACTTTAGGAATTGGCTAGGTGGGATTGGAGGAACATTAGGACTTGGCTAGGTGGGATAGGAAGAACATTGGGACTTGGCGAGGTGGGATTGGAGGAACATTGGAACTTTGCTAGGTGGGATTGGAGGAACATTGGGACTTGGCTAGGTGGGATTGGAGGAATTTGGGACTTGGCTGGGCGGGATTGGAGGAACATTGGGACTTGGCGAGGTGGGATTGGAGGAACATTGAGGGAACATTAGGACTTGGCTAGGTGGGATTGAAGAACATTGGGACTTGGCGAGGTGGGATTGGAGGAATATTGAGACTTGGCTAGGTGGGATTGGAGGAACATCAGGAATTGGCTAGGTGGAATTGGAAGAACATTGGGACTTGGCGAGGTGGATTGGAGGAACATTGGGACTTGGCGAGGTGGGATTGGAGGAACATTGGGGACTTGGAGAGGTGGGATTGGAGGAACATTGAGGGAACATTAAGACTTGGCTAGGTGGGATTGGAAGAACATTGGGACTTGGCGAGGTGGGATTGGAGGAACATTGAGACTTGGCTAGGTGGGATTGGAGGAACATTAGGAATTGGCTAGGTGGAATTGGAAGAACATTGGGACTTGGCGAGGTGGGATTGGAGGAACATTGGGACTTGGAGAGGTGGGATTGGAGGAACATTGGGACTTGGGCAAGGTGGATTGGAAGAACATTGGAACTTGGCGAGTTGGGATTAGAGGAACATTGGGATTTGGCGAGGTGGGATTGGAGGAACATTGGAACTTGGCTGAGTGGGATTGGAGGAACATTGGGACTTGGCGAGATGGGATTGGAGGAACATTGGGACTTGGCTAGGTGGGATTGGAGGAACATTGGGACTTGGCGAGATGGGATTAGAGGAACATTGGGACTTGGCTAGGTGGGATTGGAGGAACATTGGGACTTGGCGAGATGGGATTAGAGGAACATTGGGACTTGGCTTAGTGGGATTGGAGGAACATTGGAACTTGGCGAGATGGGATTGGAGGAACATTGGAACTTGGCGAGATGGGAATTGGTGGAACATTGGGACTTGGCTGAGTGGGATTGGAGGAACATTGGAACTTGGCTGAGTGGGACTGGAGAAACTTTGGGACTTGGCGAGATGGGATTGGTGGAACATTGGGACTTGGCTTAGTGGGATTGGAGGAACATTGGAACTTGGCGAGATGGGATTGGAGGAACATTGGAACTTGGCGAGATGGATTGGTGGAACATTGGGACTTGGCTGAGTGGGATTGGAGGAACATTGGGACTTGGCTGAGTGGGACTGGAGAAACTTTGGGACTTGGCGAGGTGGGATTAGAGGAACATTGAAGTTTATTTTTTTGGTTTTAAAGAACACTGGGACTTGTCGATATTGGATTGATGAAACACGAAATAGTAAAGTATTTGTGTGATTATCAGATTGACGAATTCTAAAAATAATTGAAAGAGAAAATAACTAAGATGCATAAAGAAAGAGATAAATATTAGCAGTGTAAAAGCATTTATCTTCAACAGAATTCACCCATTTGCGTCAAATATTTAAATCCATTTTTTCACTAATAATATTTTTAATATCTTGAATAAAACCTTACAGTTATATAATACAAGTCACACGCATTCTTCTAACAATAATCACAGATTTATATCTAAATAAAAAAAAAAGAAATAATCACACTTAAAAATCGGAAGCCGCAATCAACATGGCAATGAAACCATTTAAGTGGTGTACTAACCACCCATTGTACTCGATGTTTATATAACTTAGCAATGTAAATGTAACAAAAAAAAAGCGTCAAAACACAATGGTCAAGTTTTTAAAGTCTTTCAAGATAGAGATATTAAGTGAAGTGTCAAACAAGGAAGGCTGCCACCCACCCCCACAAATAATCCATCCATCAGCTGACCGACCCAGATCCAGCCCGAGAGAGAGGGAGGGTAAAGAGAGAGGTAAAAAACACGGGCAAAAAGGGTGTGATGACATTGAGATAGTGGCCGGCAGGTTCCCGCATTGTTCACTCTGTCCCAATTCCACCAACATTGAATCCCAAGCTGATCTCAAGGCAGCGGCCACTCTTTTTTAATTACGCAGTGTTTTATAGCAGACCTTGGCCGCACCCTGCAGTTTTTTTTACCCGTCCCTTCCTCTGCTGGAACGTTCTTCTACTTGCTGCCTGTCATTGAAGTCATGAGACACGACCATAACACCCCGTGTCTCATCGCTCTTAATAGCTTCATTATCAAGACATCTTTTATGGTAATTATTTGTAAACCAAACAATAACCATTACTGATGAATGCTACTACTTCTGTACGTGGCTTCCGCAGTACGGGTTGCATACAGTTAATAGCAGTCATTACTGACATAAAATCATTATTAGGAGTAATTAGCTAGACAATAGTATGCTATCTCAGCAACTTCGCTAGTTTAGTCTACGATACAATATCAAATAGAATTGTTTAAAACATTTATCTTCCTGATTGGGAAATATATGTTCTCTGAATATTTCTGCATTTTCTCTACCATATTTTCGACGACTCTCTGCTTCTCTTACCAAATGAATAAATGTTTTAATGTACGGGCCGAGATGTTGAGAATAGTGGAGAGATATCTGTTCGATGAGTAAGAAATATACCTATTACAAAACTATTATTTTTTTAACTATTTATTGCTTATATAAAAAAATGGCCGTGAAGCAGTCGGGTAGGTCAGGAGTTGGCAAACTTTTGAGTCAGAAGAGTCAAAATTACAATTTACAAATTTTTTAAAGTTTTTAAAGAGCCACAAGTTTTTTTTGTCAACAATAAAGAGTACACGCATGAATAATATTTACGTATGGAACTATGTAAAGAGCCCCAGCTTCACAACCAAAGAGCCGCATGTGGCTCACGAGCCTCAGTTTTCCGATCCCTAGGGTAGGTCGATTGTTAGCGATAATCTCCCTGAGTAACAATCTTACTGAGGCGACAATCTCCCTAATCGACGACCTCCCTGAGCCGAGAGACCACCATTGTAAAATTAATTTATTCTTTTTAAAACGAGTTGAATACATTTACATAAAAGAACAGAGATAAATAAGATAAAAGTAACAAATTATATAATTAATAGCCTGTTGATAATTTGAAAACTATTTTGTTATTGTAGAATGGATAATCAAGGAATGGGTAGCATTCATAAATGAAAAAAAAAAAGTTTATAAAGTGGATATAAATAAATAAGATTGTAACTCAGTACATGTTGAATGTCGAAGAATCAATAATTTAATGAGAAATAAAATTTATATCCGAAAATAGATTTAAAAAACTCAGATACTCAAGAAGGAATCAAACAAATTACTAATTGAATTTCTAAAAAACCAAGAGATTGGGATAGGAATTAAATATATATTTCAAGGGTGAATATAAAAGGAACAAGAATTTGA